AAAAAAAAAAAGTTTTGACCGTTGCCAATTAGTATTGGTATTGCTTTGCGACCTTGCCTTTGATTGTGTGCGTGTGGGTATATGGCGCTCAACTACATCCGATCACAAATCAATTTTTAAATATTTATCTCTCTACCCAAGGCTTTGCTTGATAAGCTTCTTTTCCCACGAGCAATGCTTTCAGAGACACGCGCATACATGCATATGCATACGTACATGCATACATACATACATTTGCACACAGATAAATTTATAGGTATCGAAGTTTGGACTAGCCATCAAAGGAAACCTATTTATCGCTCTATATTTCCCCCATCTATACTTTTTTCTTTAGTTGTATCATTCTTTAAAAACTTACACATATGAAACTTTAAGGCAACAAAACTGTAGAAATCACACCATCTACACTATGGACAAGAAGTTAGCGCTTCAAAAACTGCTTCTACCGTCGGTAATTGCAAACCATAGTTTTATTGATGAATAAATGCCTTTTCCGAAATGCTAAAAAAATGGGTTTTCTGAAGAAAAAATATTGATAACCCAGATTTAAAGTGAGAGCATATAATAAAATAATGAGTGGTAGAAAACGTATAACTGGAGGGAAAAATTGCAAAGTTCAGTTTTTCAAATATTACAGGAGAGAAAATACAAACCTTTCTAGCTCATTTTCTTCAAGGACATGTTAAAAAAAAATTGTATACGATTTTTCGCGTTTTCCAAGCTAAAACACAACTCCCAACAAATCAAATACCACAATGTTGATTTTCTGTAACTATTTTTAACTTACAGTGACTCAAACAAATGGCCACGTGTTGGTTTTTTTTTTTATATTCGTAATGTTTTTCGATCTAATTTTTGTTTTTGTTATTTTGCTATAAAAATACCGTTTTAACCAAAAACATATAAATCACAGTTTCAAACTTTATACAAATACAAAATTTAGGAGAAATTCAAAAAATTAAAATAAAAAAATTTAAAATTTTTAATCTGCATCTTTAGAACATTTTTGGGTATATACTTTTATAGCCCGTACAATTTTAGTCTAATGAAGTCCTAAAAAACCCCTAAAACATCGCGTTAATTTTTGAGAATTTTTTTTTCGGAGACTGCTTTTGTGGCTTGTTTTTTATATAACAAATGAAATTTCCATAAAAATGGTATTGATTTTTTGAAATTTTGTTGCCAACGGTCTCCCGCATTTTATTTCATAAGAAATTCATGCCTATGTATATGGAAAAAAGTGCAAAAACCACGAATACAAAAATTCTGAAAAATCAACGGGATTTTTTAGCCATTTGAAACATGCATTTCATTAGACAAAAATTGTGTGGGCTATGAAACTGCATGCTCAAGAGTCAGATAAAAAAGTTGAAGTTTTGATGAAAATTTGTTGAATGTTTCTAATTTTTGTATAAAGTTCGAAACTGTGATTTATATGGTTTTTGTTAAAGCTTGGACGGTATTTTTATTGAAAAAAAATAATTTAGCTCTAAAAACATTACGGATATCAAAAAAAAAAACCACATGTGGTCTTTTGTTTGAGTCACTGTGGGGAATTTGCGCGTATGACCGAATAGAAAAATGAAATATATAGGTAGAAATCGAATAATTTTTAATTGTTTTTGCTTCTTGCATAAGAATTTATTTTTGGAACTGGGAATGTCGATTAAGTTTTAAGGCACAAAAATACTCAAAAGAAAGTCTCCTGCAGTGGAATTGAAACGTGGCTAAAAATTTTTATATCTTTCTTTAAATATCGGCGCCTAAAGTACAAAACCCCGTATCAAGCTAATGTAAAACAGCGTATGAGAGGTTGCATAAATTATTTTGTAGAGATTAAAAACACCCATATTTCAAAATGGTTGTCTCTTTTATAAAGCAATCGCATTTAAATGGACAAATTTTAAAATTCTAGAAGTTTTGATAACCACACCGACATACTTTGAAAATTCCAAAAATTTGATCATTTAAAGAACTCGATATAATCACGAAACCTCCGTAAATTTCATTAACTCGATAAACCTCGACAACTCTATAAATTTTGATGAATATTTGTTATTCAATAAATATCATCTAATATATAAAAATCTCGATAACTATTTCGACAACTCAGTTTCTGCGTCTCGATAAATTTCGATAACTCAATAAACATTGATCAATTTCAATAATTCGATGCACTGCTATAAATTAATAAATATGGATTATTGTGGCAGTTTTATTTTTTTCCTTTTTACGAATTCAATGGCTACATTTATGTTCTTCATGGCACAAACTTAAAATGAAACCAGCAGACATGAAAACCGAATGGATGTACTAAACCTCGTTTTCCTGATTTGCTTTTGATATTTTATTCGTTTGAATTTGTAATGAGGCCTATTGGGATATTTGCTTTTAGAAAAACTTTCAAATAAATAACCGTAATTTTGTTTACTTGTCGGGCAATATTTTTTCAAACGGATCTATTTTGGATCGTGGACTATAAACTTACGCCTATGGCTGCCTTTTTCCGCTACTTTAAGTTAAAGTTTGATATTTTTCAAAAAGGATTTCAAGCAGGAATCTTAAAAATTTAGTTAAAAAGAGAGTCAGTGCTCGCAGTATTCAAGATCTGTAAGTCTGATTGAATATTACTTGCCAATGATCTGATGAAAAAGTCGATGGATTGCTAGTTTTTTTTTCGTTTTTCATCTGTAAAAATAACTTAAATATATAAACAAACGAATGCAGAATCGATACTCAAATGCCTTCGTCCGAGCTGAGTACCGAGATTCATTGAAGTCTATGTCCTTAAGTTTTAGAGCGAGTGCTCGGAAGATCCTTTGAAGGACTATGAAATTTATTTGGGGTTAGCACACTTTGCCGTATTCAGTTTTTGATATTTTTAAGTTAATTATTTAACTAAAATTTAAAGGGCATCCAAAAAATTTAGCACATATCCCTACTCACTAAATAAGTTCTGGAAATTTGAATGCCGTTTTAGTCTTTTTTTGAAAAAAATCTTTTTTGTGAACCTATGGTATCTGATGCATAAACAGATATTTATGCTGGTGTTGGTTCATTTTCCATGGTTTTTATGCTATACAAATTACTCTGAGATAGGTGGATAAGTTAAAGCATTTTGTGATATTTTTTAACGGACTTCAAAAAAGGAGGAGGTTATCAATTCGTCAGAGGTGGTCCTATACTAATTTGGTTTAGATTCGATCATTGGATCATGAAGAAATTAGCACTACTCTAAAATATTTATACGAGAATTGAGTCGGTTTTATTTTTGCTTAAAAATTACTTGTTTTACGAAAATCTGATCAATTTCTCTTTAGGAACCTTTAACTTGGTTTTTTCTAGGAACATAACGAGGAAAGCCTAGTACAAATAAGTCACGACGCATCGCGCGTGGAAACTATTTACCGATTAGCATGAAATTGTATATTTACTATAGAGAACCGAAAAATTTTTAGATTTGAAAAATCGAAGGTCTTTAATAAAAACTGAACTAGGCTAATGAACAAGGAACTTTGCGAATAAGAAAAGGGTTTATTTCTTAAACAACATACTTATAAATTGACGAAATTTTTCAAAAAATAAAATTATATCTTTCTGAACTTTCAATGCGCTTATAATTTTAACTTACCAATAGTTTAGGGCTTAGCACTTAATTAGGAAACTATATACAACACATCGCTTATGCATTCTTCGATGACAATTGCTTGGCTAACTCGGTGTATTTGAGGAACTTTGATTGTGAGCTTTCGCTGTATGGATTAATGATTGGCGCAGCCATGTTGCCGCCCGCACCCAATGGACTCTTTGAGGCGCTCTTCGGCGATGTGGCTGCCGATTTCGGTGAGCACGCCAGCGTTGGTGATTTAATGGCATTCACTTCGCCTACGTCGTCCTTCATGTAATGCATCTTCGAGAAGTGATGACGATAAGCACCCTTTGAGCTGAAGACTGCATCACATTGCGAACACTTGATCATAGATTCGGCATTCGAATTCTGCACCGCATCATTGCAAGCCCAGCTGAAGGCCATCATGTTGCCAGTTAGCTGGGTGTTATGATTGATGCCATTGACGGCATTGCTGCGTGACTTTGTTGCCGGCTTCTCTGTAGTTTCGCAGAGTTTCTGAAGTGCAGCCAATGGATTGGCATTCGGCTTCTTATTTGTGTTGTTGTTGTTATTATTGTTGGTTTCGCCAACACCAATCAAAGTGTCTGCAGCGTGCGACTGTGCACTAACTGCATTCGAGCTCATATTGTTTAGATTGTCGAACATTGAAGAGAGTGCTGTGAGGCTACTACCAGCTGGCGCAAATCGCTTCTCAGCCAAGGATGATGTGGATTTGGGCGTAATTGAGCGTTCGTCGCTTGCGCTGGGGCTGGTAGCACGCGAGCCGGGCGTCTCCGCTTGTGGCTTATAGTGAAGCGAATCGCTTGATTGCTGTCGTTCATCTTCTTGGCTATCAATCATATTGAATTCCTTTTTCACGGAGATTTTCTGTGGTGACACAGCATCGGCGGCATCTTTACTGCCATTAATGGTTAGCTCTTGCGGTTCGTTAGACGTTTCCGAAGGCTCTGTTTTTATATTCATATTGATGAGCTCAGCGTGCACGTCAGCGTTTGTTATTGTTTCTGTTGTGTTGAACTTTTCTGGCGTTAGACGTGGTGTGGACTGTCGTACGCGTTCCTGCACACTACGTTCGGGTGTAAACGATTCAATGCGACTATTGCAGCGTTCGGAAATCGAACTGGACTCGCTAGCGCTGCGGTCACGCGCCGAGAAGCTCGAGTATGAGCGCATAAAGTGCATGGTTTGTGGATCTATGAGCGGTTTGGTATAGTCCACGCAATCATCAATGCCTAGACGCTTCAATATACTCGAGCCTAGTGGTGTGCTGCGTTGACTGCCATTACCGTTCGATGAGTAGGAGCTGCTGTTGCGCATGCGTGTATCGAAACTCTTCTCGATCAGCTGTTCGATGGCATTGAGTACTGATGGTGTAGAATTACTCGCCTTTTCGCCTTCCTTGGGTAGCGGGCAAATTATTTCCGGGCGTGTTGATGCGTGTGACACATTGCTGTCGGCTGTTTTGCGGCCATCACTATGACTAGTCGGGGTCTGTGGACTGGTGAGCTGTTCCAAGCAGCTCATCGGATTGAATGTCGGCTTCAAGACGTCGTTGTTGCGATTGCGCGCGGGCACCATCAACATTCCGCCCAGACACTGCCTGATGTGATCAACGAATAGCGCTGTCTCGATTTTCTCGCCACATTTTTCGCATGTGATCTTAGTTGTGGCGGCAAAGTCACGTAACGGCTTCAAAGCCGGATCCAAACTATTATTTTTGTAGTCTTGTTGCGCGCGTTCCAACTCCAGTAGCTTACGCACTGGTAACGACTTTTTACGTTTTTCACGCATTTGTCGTCCACGCCGTGCGGACGGCGTTGCTGACGCGCTCGTCGTATGCTCTCCACCACAACCACCACCGCCAGCGCCGCTGCCGCCGATTGCACGCATCATGTGCTCCTTGTAGTGTGCATTCTTCATCATGTGATTGCTTAGTTCCTTGAGCGATGGAAAGGCCTGATCGCACACCTTGCATGTTAGCACAGCGCTTACAGTAGCCGACGTTGTGTTGTTGGGGCTAGAAATAACAGCGCCCGCCGCTGGATGAACCATGCCGGCAGACGGTGGCGATATCACGACAGGTGATGTTGATGATGCGCCATTCGAGTTGGAGCCGCTGCCGCTGTTCGAGTTTTTATCGTCCGTCGACTTCCATGAAATGATCTGCTCCTGGGATATTATGTTCGTGTAGTGTTGTGTCTCCTGCATGTGCGATGTCATTTCGGCTAGCGAGCGAAAACTCTGGCCGCACCACATGCACTTCAGTATTTCGCGCGTTTGCTCTGCACCTTTGCCGAGCCAGACATCTTGGCCACGCACTAGCTTGCGTGGCAATGGCATCGTTTCTTTGATTAACAAATTGAGATCAGATTTATTGGACGTGGACGAAGTGGTCGCTGCAGCCGTTGTGGCGGATGTGGCGGCGAGCGATGTGTTGGTATTAGCGGAGTGACGTAAGTGATGTGTCGATTGAGTTGTCTGATTGCAGCCGCTGCCGCCGCCGCCGCCACCGCTGCTATTACTTGGTGCACAACTAGCGCCCGTTGGAGGCATGCTAACACCACAGTGTTGCGTCTCCTTCATGTGTGCTGTTAATGAGGCCAGTGTGGGAAAACTTTGCTTACACCAAACACATTTGAAGACATCTCTCACAGCGTCCGCCCCCTTATTCAGCCAATGCGACTGCCATGCACTGTGCCGTCCACCACCACCACCACCGCCGCCGCCGCCGCCGGAGTTTCCCGCATTGTTGGCTGTCGCGCTTATTTGTCGATGCGGTGGTAGCTCGGCACTATCTGTCGCCGAGCCGAGTCTTGTCATTTCAGTCATTTTCTCTAGTGCTTTGGTAGCTTCATTTGGCAAAAGTTTGTGCTTTCCGCTCCACTCCAGTGGCGAGAGTGGCGATTTGGGTGATAAACTAGCCGCCGCCACTGCGGCTAGATATGGATTAATAGTTGGCACCCAATTACTGGCAACAGGTGGCAGCGCTTTATAGTCGTGCGTGGTGCGTAATGTTTTCCGTATTGGCATGTGTTGTGCCTCCTCATCGGTAGCTTCACGTTTACGTCCGACCGACAAATCAAGCGGACTATTCACATCGACTGCTGCATCTGTGCCACTGCCCGATCCGCAGTTGTCATCGTCCTCCATCTTATCATCGGCCTCATCGTCGTCACTTTCATGCTCAGAATCCCGTCGGCGTTTCGTGCTAAAGTCCAGCACTGGTTCATCATTTGTGGCGTCTGTTTGTGGTGAGGGTGGCGTGCGATTTGTAGTTGGCGTATGCGTTCGTGTTGCTTGTTGTACCAAGGAGGCCGCGGCCGCTAGTGGATTGGTCAGCAGCAAGTGATTTTGTTGTGCTGCTGCTGCTGCAGCTGCATTGAAGTATGCAGCCATAGCAGCAGACTGTGGTGGCAACAAGGCAGCTGCAGCAGCCGGTGCTAGCGTGGCCGACAGCGGTAGTCCTGCAGGTGGTGTGCTGGAAAGCGAGGTGGCTGCTGGCGTCGTAGTTCGCTCATTGCCAGAGCAGTGTGAGCCATTCGAGGGGCATCTGCCCTCCATTGCTGCTGCAGAAACATTCGATTCTCGGGATTGACAGCGCGGGCTGGTCAACTCACTGCAATGGGAAAAATAGAATAATTTTATTAGATAAAGATTGCAATAATTTGAAGTGCTACATACAATATTGAAGTTTTCTTGAAAGGGAATTTTTTTGAACAAAGTGAGGCGTTTATAAAATAGCTTATACAAACAGCAAGGACCCGGGTATATGCAGAAATATGGGCTCCCTGGACCGTACCCTATCCACAGTGAGCCTTGCAATCGACCTGCTGAGCTGACGCGATCAAGAGGTGCATCCAAACCAATTTTGAGACCGACGTCAGCGAACTCAGAGCTTTATTTGCCACTTGGCTATCTCTTATTGAAACTTTTATTAATGTGTCTACTGCTTCTTTAATTAATGAGTAGCAGCTGAAAAACGCTGAAGCAGCCTGGAAACTTAAATTTAATATTCATGAAGAGTTCATCGCAAGAAATTCTACTACCAGCCCTACCACCAATTTTCGATCCATCTGCGAAAATTTTGATTGATGCCCTTCCCCAGCATCGTCGTCCCACCAAATAATCCTTTGAGGGAACGGCTGTAGAGCAAAACTCTCAAGAGAGTGTCTAAATTCTGGGCCTCATACGGTTTCCTTGAGCCTGATTGCAAGCCGTGCTGTGGCTATTTTAACTGGCATGTAAATAGACATGGTGTTGAGCGCCAGAGTGTGAGAAGTCAGGCCATTGTGCATATAGTAGCTGCCAGTAGTCTTAGTACACTACCTAACGAAATCTACCAGACGAGAGCTTCGCTCCAACTATGGTCTCACAAATCCACGGAACTTGAGTTGGATGAAAGGACCCATTTCTTAACAAAACTTCATCTACAGCAATATAAGGCCAGTAATGTCTTACCCAGCCCTTCTTCAATGCCACATTTCCACGACATTCTCTTATCTAGAAACTTTATCTCGTCGGCAAGCTCCTGGTGAACACCTCCAAACGAGTCAAGAGTTGATTTGGAGATCTTGAATTTCCTAGTATCTAAGACCTGTATTACTTTACTAGGATTGACGATTAGATCGTTGTTAGCTAAACATTTAGTCATCAGGTTTAGATAACATTGAGTCAGATCATATATGGTGTACATAAATATATCAAGCAACTACCTAGAGAAGAGATGAGAGCACCCAACATTACTGTGAGCCTCTGTTTAAGAATACTAAATTGTAAGTAAAGGCTAAAGCTGGACACTTGAAAATGGGCTCGGGCATATTATTTGAATAGTACTGCGTGTTTCTCTGAAATAATGAGTCCTTTAAGTATCTTTATAGCTAACCTCCTCCAAGCAGGTGAGAGTACTGCGATAGTATCTTTTCTCATCTATCCCCACCTATGTCTACTATGTTATTAGGCTTAAACCTATCAGCGGGAAACCAAATAGAGATCTTTTGTTTCGGAATGCTTTCAGCCCGTAACTCACTGCTTGGTGTCTATATGTGATGGCTTTTTATGAAAAGTATACTATCATTCTTCAAAACCAACCACCGCCGCGCAAGACCGACTACTACATAAAAACGCTTACTTTCCATTTCCTTTTAAGCGTCATACCGCTGAAAATTTTGTATGATTGATTTCATTAGAGGGAATTGTTTTTTTTTATAGTATTTAACTCGGAACCCGCTGGTGCTAGCAGAGAATGAGTGAGGACCCCACTGCGATGGTAAGACCAAGTTGAGAAGGACTTGGCTTCCTTGGCAGAGAAAAGGAACGACTGGCGTGCTTTGTTGAACTCGGCTAAAATCGCCAAATGAGAAGATAAAGAACATCTGATCAGCAGTGGGATTTTAGAAATGACTATGCTAAATATCTTTAAAAAAATAGCAGAGGTGCATAATTTAAGGCCACACTGCCAATCATTTTGAGAATTTTGACCACGAAAAGTTTGCGTATCGATTAGCGCTTAAGCGTTAGACAAGGCTTCGACCGTCTGACTTGAAGTTGGCTTAAAATATATTCATCCAGGATTTAGTCAGATATGCTCTGGGCTCGTTTAACTTCTAAAAGGATCCAACAAGGCTGAGAAGCAGACTTGCGGAAGCATATGTGGCACAAATGTGGAGAGAGCGCACGTAATCTTCATTCCGATTATTCGCAAGCAAAATCATTCAAGTCAGTTTAACCTCCTTTGTGTTGAAAGTAATTGAGACGATAAATCACAACAATATGAAATTTGGCATTCTGAAAATTACACCATGTATTAGCATGCATAAAGGGCTGAAAGGTCTACGGATACAGCCCCGTATGAGCCGAAAACTGAACCACGTTACACTCTGGCGTTCGCAGGGCCCTAGAGAAGAGGAATTTGCAGCCTGTTATCTGAATCATATTATGTAGAGCTTAGTCGTGGCTGAAGTCATTCAGCTTCTCTCTTAGAATAGCGTCCATTTACCAAGGTTGTGGATATGACATAGCCATTATTGTGAGAGGAAAGTTTGTGAGCACTCTCTGGTGGTGTATCAAGTTAGGGCTTAACATTAAACCAGATACAACTGGAAACGAACGTGATCAGCTCCGCCAGAGAAATAAAGAATCTTAGGCTACTCGGAGACACCAAACTTCTGCCGAGGAAATATATGCATGCGACTACTTACAAGGCAACGAATGCTGTAACGGAGTATAGGCATCTGGCAACAGAGTTTTGGGGATGCAGTGCCAAGAACTAAATGGCTATAAACTTTGATAGGAGAACAAATAGTAAAATTTGGGACTCATGTAGAAAAAGTGAGCTTAAAGCTCCGACTTCAGTTTCAGTACAAATTCTCGAGCTTGAGCTCGCTTCTTTGGTGCGAAAATTGAGTTCGAGCTTAAGCTAACTTTTTATGCAGGAGACCCAATGGCTCCCAAAGCTACAACGACTGGCATATTTACGCAAAACAGGAAGCAATTGAGACCCTTCAAATAACCAAAGAGCAGGTCGCCAAAATAACTTTACTAAGCTTTGATAGCGAGGGATTTGGGGAAAAAGGGTCATATCGTCTAGAAACATAGAGAAATTTTTCTGGCGGATTTTTAGAGATGCCACTCTGGATCTGGACGAACTGCCTCGCAAGAGAGGCAGCAGATATTACTCCAAGTGGCCCAAGCCTTTCCTGGGAGTAGGAAGAGGAATGCATGAAGGGATCTAAACTGACATACATATATGTATAGCGCGCTAGGACTGCGCCCGGCAAAGACTTTACTATGTGGGTATAACAAGAAGAAATTCCGAAGCCTAATTAGCCGCGAAAAGGAGAAACACTGTAGACTAAGAGCGAATCTGTATACACTGGAGATACATGTGATCAAGCGACTTTTGTGATGCCGTCTGTAAAAAACGTCAGCTTTCGGCTCGATGTGGCTACAGCTTGAGCACATGTACGCCCTTCCCCAGAAAATGCTGCTAAGCTTTGTGAGTAATTTAGGTGTAGAAGGAGTACTGTGAAGTGTAATTAGAGAGGACAATAGATCGCTGGGTCTCACTGCAATTCTTCATAAAAACTCTGATATTGGAATAATGATCGTAGAAGAGTCTTGCTGATATAAAAACTAGTGCCCAACTCACGGCATTCGTGAACGCTTCATTACCCATCTCGAATCGAATGAGATAAAATGACAACCGCATTGAGCAAATTTATATACATACATACTTAGTAGAGAAAAGTTTAATGTGTGATAGAATTTAAGGTAAATATTTCATTTAAATAATGAAAAACTTGTGAAATAAGACTCTATGCATGCAACTATAATATAATTATGTACATTAGGGAGTGTCCATACAAAAAAAAAAAAAACGGTATTGTTTTTCCATCCGTATTAAAAAATCTTTTATATTTTGAGGCTTCCGCCTAAAAAATATTTGCAAAAAATATTTACCTCCAACAATCGAGTTTTTTTTTATAGATAAAATTAGTTTTATAAATTTCCTTCGAAAAAAAATCACTTCATATGATATGAGGCCGTGACAGCAGACGTTTCCTAACCCACACATTTTTTTTTTGTCTAAATATTCTAAATATGATAAATCTTAAAATAAAAGTCTCTTACAGCCGCACTCAGAAACGTTCCTTAAATTAGCTGCAACGGGCGCTTAACTAATGATCGTTCAATCTGTTTCCTCTCAGAGTTAAAAAGTATGAAAAAATTTAAGTATGGCCCCAGTTGCGGCCCTTAATTTTTGTGGCATCACTCACTTTTTTCGTTCAGTTTGAAATAAAATACAAAAATAAGTATTTATATCATTTTGCGCGCATCGGCTCAACAGACGCAATGGCTGAGTGAGCAGAGTACTGGCGTGCCATTCGAAATTTCCGAGTTCGAGTCCTAAGGCAGGAAAATTTTCTTTTTCTTTTTTATTTATTTATTTATTTTTTCTTATTTAATTTTATGAACTGTCTGTATTGAATTTTTTAGCTTTTTTGATTTAATTTTCTTTTGGTGTGTAGATTTTATTGCTTTAAAAAGAAAACAATTTTTTTTTTTTAGTTTAATTAAATTGTTTGCTAAAAGACAAACAAGACCACAATAACAGGCCAATTCTGGCATCTGTCTTTTAACTCACCTCAGTCTTTCGAGAGACAAAAGTCTTTATATTTCGGCAACTATCTTGAAAGCCCTTTTCTGTATTTCGAATAACTAATTGAAAGATGCACTACTAGTGTTATTATATTTATCGTTTAGCAATAAGTTTACTAAAAACTAAACGATATGAAAAAATATTTTTTTAAAACAGGAAAAATTAAAATTTTGAGAAACTTGAAGAGTAAAAAAAAGATGAATCAAAAAAGTTTCCAAACGTTAAATTAAATAAAAAATATGAATTTGTTAAGAAATAAAACATGAAAAAAAATTGTATTAAAAAAAGTCGTTGCCGAGGATTGAACTTCGGATCTCTTGAAGGGCCCAGTGAGCATTGCCTCTGTTACAGCAACGTTATCGAAATTGAAATTTATTGAAAACAAACAAAAAATTTCAAAATCATTCGTTAAAAAGTTAAGTAAAGGTTTTTGTTTACTTAACTTTAATGTTCATTAAATACCCTTAACGAATGATTAACTGACTCTGAGAGGGATTTTTTTTCCAAATCGTTACTGAGGGACACCTTAAGTAATCACTCAACGACTCTGAATGGGGCTGTTATTCCCAAATTTTAAGATACGAGGCTACCTAGCGTATCATGAAATTAAGAACTAAGCGACCTTTACTATAAAATTTGTTACATTTGAAACAATTTTAAGAAGTTAGCTACAAAAACAAAAAAAAATTGTGAGTCAGGCCACTTCTGCGCTCATGGCCTCATATGAGAGTTTAAGCTTACATGGCCTGCATAAAAAATGTTAAAAAATTTTATCAACGAATGGCAAAATTATGAGATTTTTTAATCGGTTCCGAGCTTTTCCAAAATATTTTGGCGCAACTCTTAAAATATAATAAATTTTGTGGTTCCGGTAGAAAAACCGTAATACTTTTTTTTTTTTTGGTGATGCACCCTAATGTACATAATATAGGTACATACTATCTATCTTAGCTTAAAGTAAAAAAATTTGTAATCACCTTGCCGTGAGCGCCTGCCTGTAAATTTCCAGCATAACCGCCTCGTGCAACATCATTTCTTAGCTGCCTATTTGATTTTTAAGGCAAAAAAAAAAATCTAATCGAAATACTACCAGCAAACACTTGGCAATATAATATTCCACAGTCTTCAAACTCTACAAAAGACACAAACACACACGCAAAACATTTTCAATGCACGCGAATTTTCGGTGTGGCCTATATCTGCTTGCAGTTCAATTGATTTTCGAGGTGTTCACCTCAGCTGCAACATATGTATGTATATGCGGAGGAGTGTTTCTTCGCTTTTCTTTGAATTCAACGCGACACGACACTCTTTTTTTTATTTTTTTTTAGATTTCTTCCTGTATTAGCACTTGCCACTTGNTACATATGTATGTATATGCGGAGGAGTGTTTCTTCGCTTTTCTTTGAATTCAACGCGACACGACACTCTTTTTTTTTTATTTTTTTTTAGATTTCTTCCTGTATTAGCACTTGCCACTTGGCACTAGGCACTTGTCGCATTCTTGTTTGACTGATTTATCAGTGTCCACGGAAACAGCGATTAATTTGTTTTTTCTTCGTTGATTGTTTTTGTTTTTGTTTTATTTTTTTTTAGATTTCTTCCTGTATTAGCACTTGCCACTTGGCACTAGGCACTTGTCGCATTCTTGTTTGACTGATTTATCAGTGTCCACGGAAACAGCGATTAATTTGTTTTTTCTTCGTTGATTGTTTTTGTTTTTGTTTTATTTTTTTTTAGATTTCTTCCTGTATTAGCACTTGCCACTTGGCACTAGGCACTTGTCGCATTCTTGTTTGACTGATTTATCAGTGTCCACGGAAACAGCGATTAATTTGTTTTTTCTTCGTTGATTGTTTTTGTTTTTGTTTTATTTTTTTTTAGATTTCTTCCTGTATTAGCACTTGCCACTTGGCACTAGGCACTTGTCGCATTCTTGTTTGACTGATTTATCAGTGTCCACGGAAACAGCGATTAATTTGTTTTTTCTTCGTTGATTGTTTTTGTTTTTGTTTTATTTTTTTTTTTTATAACAAATACACGCGAAAAAAATATTTCTTTTAAAAATAAATACTGCTAATGCTTTTATGTTCACTTTTGGCTGGCTTCTAAGACATCCGCTGATTTAGTAGCTAATGTCAAATTTCTACACATTGTAGACGCTGCTGAAATTGTTGGTGACGCTTTGGCATAGCCTATACGAGTACACGTATTGACGACGGTGCTACCAGCAGAGATGAATTGTATTTATGTATAGTACATGTGTATGTATGTTATTTAATATATGTACATATGTGTCTTTTGAATTTGTACGAGAACGTGTCACTGGCGTGTTATGCCTCTATCAAAAACACACACGTCAAATAAATCAAATGTCAGGCGGCTGGCTAGTAGTATGCTATGATGACTGCTGACTCTGGTGTGGTACAGAGTGGGGTGTGCAGAGCGAAATGAGGCGCAAGAAACGCTGCTTGCTGCCTTGGTGAACAGTCAGCTCACTAGTAGTAGTAGTTGTTGTTATTGTTGCTNTCTATCAAAAACACACACGTCAAATAAATCAAATGTCAGGCGGCTGGCTAGTAGTATGCTATGATGACTGCTGACTCTGGTGTGGTACAGAGTGGGGTGTGCAGAGCGAAATGAGGCGCAAGAAACGCTGCTTGCTGCCTTGGTGAACAGTCAGCTCACTAGTAGTAGTAGTTGTTGTTATTGTTGCTCGCTGCTGACGAATGCTCGAATGGATAAGTGAATAAATGTGATGCGGCGCTGTATGTAGGTTGGGCAGACAGCAAACACACACACATTCATTCATACATACAAAATACTAGTTATACCAATGTGTGTCCGGCCAGCTGAGTGTGGATGAGGTCGTTTGGTTGGTTGGTTGGTTGGTTGGTCACACCGGCTGACGCTTTGTCACTTTGTGCTGCAGTTGTTGTTGTGCTTCGACTCACAGAGTGACAGTCATCAAAAAGTGTCAATCTCAAAGAAAACAGCCGTACTCATGCACGCTCGCACGCACGCACGCACGCAC